GGGCATATCTGATGAGCGATCACACACAGCATGCTAAGAACATACTACTTGTAATGGGCGAATTCTTTCAAATTCAAGTTTGTGGATGCATTATTTTAAAAGGTCCTTATCACATTTCATTTTTAGGATGACTATCTGGATTGTTATGGAGATCCAAAGGTCACAGGAAAGGTTGGGACGGACATTGAAGAGTCAAAGTGCAGCTGGTTGATAGTCCAAGCACTTAAGAGAGCAAACGCTGACCAGAGAAAGACTCTTGAAGTTAGCGAAAATGATAAAATAAAAGAGATCAATTTTCAAAATTATAATAACAATAGGAATGCTATGGTAAAAATGATCCCAGCTGTGTCAAGATTGTGAAAGAAGTTTATACTGACTTGAAGTTGGAAGAAGTTTATAGAGAGTATGAGGAAGAGAGTTACAAGAAGCTTATGGACACCATTAAAGAAGAACTGGTCGGAACAAAACTGCCTAGTGGAATGTTTCATGAGTTTGCTGAAAGAATTTACAAGAGAAAGAAATAGATTTTTAGCTTGACTGTTATTTACAGTTACAGTAGAGTTTTTTTATTTATTATTGTTATTGCTTTAGATCTCATTAATTGTTTGTCATAGCAACGCCTAAAACGAAAAATTAATACAACCAAAAATGTCCGACCCGGATCTCACCAGTTTGACTTGGCTTTCCTCCATAGATACTGGAGGCGTCTCAAGCAGTGACCTGATGATCAATAGCTCAAGCAATGAAGATGTAGAATACCATACTGGTACTAGCAGACCATGTTCTAGCGGACTCGCACCAAGGAGCAGAGCTCGAGGTGCTAATTACAGGTCTCTTGGAGAACATCCCAGGCCACCTTGCTCTTACTCTTGTCTTATAGCAATGGCTCTCAGTGCTTCACAGACTGGCTGCTTGCCAGTCAATGAGATCTATCATTATATAGAGTGAGTTACTAATTCAAAAATTGAATTAAAAATGTAAATTTTTTTCAGACAGAAGTATCCATTCTTCAAGACAGCACCAGAGGGATGGAAGGTAGATTACAATAAAAGTGCAAAAATTAATTTAACTAAAATTTTTTCAGAATTCAATACGCCACAATTTATCAATGAATCAAAATTTTGTTAAAGTTCTGAGATCTGATGGCTATCAACCAAGAAAGGGCTACCATTGGGCCATTAATCCAAAACGACGTCACGCACTTCAACTAGAGATTGAGAGAACACTTAGAATTATACAGCAGGACATTACTGACCACAAAAACTCCAGTAAGTGTATGCTGGCCCTATTTATCATTAGCTGTTGCGATTTTATAGATGGTGATAACGACGTGGAGCAATACAAATCTGGAACTGAACAGGTTTTAGGGATTAAAGAGAATCACGATTATCATCGTCATCATGCAATAATGCAGGAGGCTCTCCTTAAGAAGCAACAACTGGTCAATTCTATGTATAGACGGCCTGAAATGATGACAAATAATGATATGTAAGAATCAGACCTGTAAAATGTTTATTGTGAGCAACCTTTTATAGGGTTGATGGCGTGTTTCTCTTAACTCATTTTGGGCCCTTTTATGCTTCAGGGAGAGGAGCCATGCACAGCAAGAAGGAGCCTCAATATTCCAGCAATGATTATCATCATGACAATGGTAATCCTAACATCGAGCAAGTCATTATAACTGACGAGGATACTGATGGAGCTGAGCAAGAAGACTCTCTTAAGCCATTTGAGTGGGTTGAAAAAGAATGTGTGATAGAAAATGAGGAAGAAGTATCCACGTCAAGTAGCTCTGCAGCAGAAATGGAAGCAAAAACACTACCTCCAGTAAATGGAGCAGCTAATGCAGATGTTGTGGATTCTAGTTTTGATTGCCCAACCCTCTCGCTTGAATCAATGCTCAAAAATATGGAGAACGAAGAGCCAATCTGTTCACTCACTCCATCTTTAAGCAGTGCCAGTTCAAATATCACACATGAAGAGACCTCATCACCTTCATCTGCCTTCTCATCTAACGGCTCTCTTCCTTTTGCTCATTTTGAGGCAACTGTAGTTTAGGGCAGGTAATGAATAGGACACTTGAAAAAGACTGCAACTGAACTATAATAGAGCAAGTGATTCCATTTAATTTTAAATCAAGTTATTATAATAATTCTTTATCAATAATTCGCGGGTAAAATGGTGCCAAGGATTAGACAGCTGACTAGCTATAGTAACGCATTCTTGATGGCCTACCTGTCTAATTCGTGAAAGAAAAGACGTGTTGCCATCATGACTGACGAGTTGACGAATCTAAACTGGCTCTGCTCCATAAGCACTCCGAAATCATGCGGCGGATCAGTTTTATCCCCCATGAGATCGAGACGTCCTTCCGAAGATACAACAGGAGAAAAAAGAATGAAAATCTTGATGCCCTCGGGACCATTGCAAATAAAGTCCTTTCCTCATAGGAGACCCCATCTTGGTTGCTATGCTGAAGAAGGAAAGCAGTTAGGAAACATTACCAGCTATTTCTCCAGACCTCCTTGCTCTTACTCATGTCTCATAGCTATGGCTCTTAAAGCCAGCTCGAGTGGCTGTCTACCAGTACATGAAATCTATCGCTTTGTTGAGTAAGTGCTGAACACATGCACAATTAATAAAAATTTCATTTTTTTAATAGACAAGAGTATCCATTTTACAAGTCAGCACCAGAAGGATGGAAAGTCAGTAATAATTAAAATGATTTTTGTTTCATTTCATCCTATCAATTGCAGAACTCTATTCGTCACAACTTATCCATGAATCAAAACTTCATAAAGGTTCAACGTCCTGATGGGTTCCAAACAAAGAAAGGTTACTACTGGGCAGCTAATCCCAGCAGACAACACATCCTTGACCTTGAGATTGAGCGAGCTCTGAAGACAATGGGCAGAGAACTTGTAGAGAACATTGACATTAGACCAAGTATGTACTGGTATAATAATAATAATGTATTATATATGGTGTTTTTTATTTAAAGGGACTCCGATTTGTTCTGTACAAGTTCCACATGAGAAAACCATTATTAAAGAGGAGATGACTCACTTCTCTCAGCTACCTGACATTGCTACTGCTGGAAATGACACAGTGACTCAAAGCTCCCTGGAGCAATTGAACACTGTTGCTGGCATCAAGACATCAATGCTGAGACACTTTCCTGTCATCATAAAAAGAGTAGGATATTGAAAATATTCAGATCTATGTACTCAATCATTCATCCATTCATAGTTTGAGGATGATAGCAAAGTCAATGGAGAAACTGTATATGAACTGATTGGTAGTTCACTTGGTCTCAGCCTCATTGATACAAATCATAGCATAAAGTCCTTCAACAAACAATTGTAAATAATTATTATAATGTAACAGTCACACTATTTATTTAATACCCCATTAGGATACCTTCTAGCATAAAGAAGCAAGAGAGAGAAGATGATGACTGTCAAGAAGGGCCAGCAGCTAAAGTATTGATCCTTTCACATTCTGGAGTGGACAATGAAGAAGAAGAAGAAGATGACATACCTTCTTACTTAAAGCCACACTACGCCTCATTTGAATGCTCTTCTGCAACTGATGTTGGATACAATGAGGAAACTGCAGCTTTTAGTGGAGATTTTGGTAGCAGCGATTCTGAAGATGAAGACCAAATTATTGAAGAATATGTCAGCGATGAAGATGAAGAGCTGAATGAAGTATTGAAGGTTTGCGGTGAAGAAAATTGTCTAAAGGAAGAAGAAGTAGCAGAGGAAGAAGTAGTTGTAGCAGCTAAAGACGATGCAAATGAAAGTGACAAGAATGATGAGGACATCAAAGCAATTTATGTTGATTTGTGCAAAGATGCTGCACCTGAAGGCTTGCCAAATATTTCTACCAAAGAAAAGGCTTTGAGCTACTTGTACGAAGAGAATGAAGCTGAGAGAGAGCAGTCACCATCTCCTGAACTGCTTCAACTGGAACTTGATGGAGAAGAATGGTCACTACCACCTGAAGCATTGGAGGAAGAGAACAGTCTGCTGACAAAGGAAGATACTGACAAATTTGGAGTGCAGCTTACCCCAGAATAATAATTATTATGTAGATATCTAGATCTATAAATCTTTATTTTTGTAACAGTAATTTTTAATTTTAGCAAAGTTCAAAAATTTACACTTTTTATTAGCCACTCCTACACTGCAGCAATGGCTGCTAGCTTGTTACATTCGGCAACAAGAAGAAGCCTCATATTCTCTTCTTTATTGCGCCATTCCTCCACCAAACCTCCTCCTGCTGACCCATCTCTTTGTGGGCGCATATCTCAAGACAAAATAGTGACGTGTCCTTTTCCAGACATTCCAATTCCTGAAACAAACGTTTTTTCACACGTCTTTCGAAATTTTGACAAGTTTACTGGTAGCTCCCCCGCCCTTGTTGACGGATTGAGTGGAGCTGAAGTCTCTTACAATGAAATGTTGGACGTGACCTCACGTACATCATCAGGTCTGAGACGATTAGGTTTACAGAAAGGAGACGTGGTTACGCTTTGTTCCCCTAACTCCATTGATTACGGGATCACTTTCTTTGCCACCATGGCCGCTGGAGGTGTTGTCTCTACTTGTAACCCCACCTACACGGCTAGTGAACTGTCGTATCAGATCAATAATTCCGGCAGCAACTTTGTAGCAACGACTCCCTCTCTCCTTCCAACTGTACTAGAAGCCATTGGTAACTTGAACGTAAAGAAAGTACTTGTAATCAATGAAGATGATAACAGCAATAGAGAGACTGATAACATTATGTCACTCAAAGTCCTTAAAGAAGATTCAGGCTCGTTGTTTAAAGAAGAGAAGGTGAATGCAAAGGAAGATCTTGCAGTACTACCATACTCCAGTGGTACTACTGGTCTACCTAAAGGTGTCATGTTGACTCACTATAACATTGTAGCTAATTTAGCTCAAATCACTCACCCAGAGATTATGTATCTGCATGAAGGAGAACCGAATCTTGGTTTACTTCCTTTCTTTCATATTTACGGGATGGTCGTTATATTGTTTCACTCGCTTTTTTCAGGTGGAAAATGTGTCGTTCTCCCAAAATTTGAGCCGGAATCTTTTCTGTCTACAATACAAAAGTATAGAATTTCAACTGCAAATCTGGTCCCTCCTATAATTCTCTTCCTATCCAAGCACCCGCTGGTAGAGAAGTATGACCTGACAAGTATCAGGAGTGTCTTCAGTGGGGCTGCCCCATTGGGCCCTGACGTGTTGAAAGAAGCTAAAGAGCGAACTGGTATCAAGATAATAAGACAAGGCTATGGTCTAACCGAGACAAGTCCTGTGACTCACTCTACACTGATCAGTGTCGGTATGGACTATCCTGCCTCTATTGGGGTCCCGATTCAGAACCAGTCCGTTAAAATTACTGACCTGAGCACTGGTCAAAGCCTAGGGCCACAGGAAGAGGGGGAGGTGTGTATAGCTGGTCCAAATGTCATGAAAGGGTACCTCAATCTACCGGACGCTACCAGTAAGTGTATAACGGACGATGGCTGGTTTCACACCGGGGACATTGGTTACTATGACAACAATGGGTTCTTCTACATAACGGACAGGTTAAAAGAGTTGATTAAAGTGAAAGGATTACAAGTGGCCCCTGCAGAGCTGGAGGGAGTTCTTCAGCATCACCCTAAGATTGCTGATGCAGCTGTCATTGGGGTACCACACGAGAGACTGGGGGAAGCACCTAGAGCCTTTGTTGTACGTCGTGATGAGAGTTTAAGCGAGGAAGACGTAATGAGTTTTGTTAAGGAGAGGCTCTCGGAGCATAAATGGCTAACGGGAGGAGTTCAGTTTATACAAGAAGTACCTAAATCAGCTTCCGGGAAAATTTTACGTAGAAACCTCAAGAAATAAGACCTGTGACATTTTGATTAATTGTTTGTATTTTTAGGAATATTTAAATAATTTATTTTTCCATTTTTCTCCTCATTAACTTTGACCACACCTCTTATTAATGAGCCCCTCCCACCTGCTGCAAGATGTCTGCATTAGCTGTAGCTAGACAACGTTTCCTGAATAAGTTTGCCATTGTTACAGGTAAAGCTTGTCACTTGTGCTTTTAAAATGGCTTGTTGTATAAAGGTGGTGCCTCTGGTATTGGTAAAGCAACAGTGGAGCGGCTGGTTGAGGAAGGAGCTACGGTCGGAGTGTTTGACATCAATAAAGAGGCGGGGGAAGCTCTTGCTAGTAAGTGAAGAAAAAGAAAAATACTTTAAAATCATAAAATCATTACAGACACCAGTCCTAATATTCATTATTATTCAGTTGATGTCTCTGAAAGTGAAGCCTGCATTCAAGGAGTGTCCTCTTTCATCGAAAAGAATAACAACAATCCACTTAACTATCTTGTCAATGGTGCAGTGTATTTCGGGTCCAAAGGACTAGAAGCCAAGAGACAAGACTGGGACAAGAGTTTTGCAGTAAATGTCATTGGATATGCTAACATGCTCCAGGCAGTCTATCCTCACATGATTAGGATTCCAGGGCCTCATGGTAAAGCTGTCGTCAACATTGCAAGTATTTCAGCACATCGGGTCCAGCCCACCAGGTGGACTTATGCAGCTACTAAAGGAGCCATCACTCAAATGACGAGGTGCATGGCACTTGACATCTCTAAAGAAAACGTGAGAGTGAATTCAGTGAGTCCTGCATGGGTGTGGTCTCCTGAGGTCTCTAAAGCTGCCGGAGGCGACCGAGAAAAGTGGGAGAAAATTTGGGGCCCATACCACATGCCACGGAGGTTTGCAGAGACAAGTGAGATTGCATCTGCTATTTGTTTCTTACTTTCCGATGATGCGTCTTACGTGACAGCAACAGATCTTCCAGTGGAAGGAGGATATATGAGCATGGGACCCGAGGGACTAGGAGAAGACTCTTCATTTGCTGGAACTGACTATTGAAAGTTCTTGGATTATAATGCTACTATAAAGTGTATTGAATAACTAGACTATTGTGATCATAAATTGTAATAGATTGCTACATCTAGTGATTATAAATGATGATATGGTTCAATTGACAGTTATTAAAGGTAGTCAGCTGTAGTCTTGTCTCTGATCTAACAGAATGTTATGCCATAGTCTCCAGGATCAGGCAAATCAGTTTCAAGATCATTGAATTGATCTCCTTTAACACGATCCTTCACACCACTAGACACTGAGCTAGGCAACTAGAAAAAGTATTATTATTTTTATTTATTTTTAATGAGAAAACAACATTTTCAAATACATACACCCAAGCACAGGGTTTAGGCACAGTGCTCAGTGGATATTCTTAAAGTTGCTCCAAAATTGGGCCAAAGTTCCTGTGCTATTATAGTCCAGGGATTTTGGCCAAATTTTGCCAAAATGAAAAGGAGGGAATTCTCCATTTTTACAATTTTTTCTGATACATATACATGTTCTTATGTTGTGTAACAAGTTTGAGCTGATTCTGATCAAATTTGATTTTTATGAATTTTTAAAGTTGCTATATAAGTGTGTCACAGCTCAGGCCGAGAGCATGCAGCTGCTAAATAAATGTCTCACTTGATCAGTTTCCATTAGTTCTTCGTTGGTTCCACAGTCTTCAGACACGACTCCATTACACTTTTATATTTATAAAAATAATTATTTGTAATCAACTAATGAGTTCAGCTCACGTTTCTCTTAATTGTCACACTCCTTTTCTTCTTGGGTCTAAATCTCTTAAATATTAACTTTTTCTGCTTATTCGTGACCTCCTTCTTCACTAATCCCAGGAAAACCCCACCTGGAGACTTCCTTTAATTATTTGATAAAATAAAAGTTTGAAAATGGCTACTTTTATCTTACTTTCTGTCACCATCACAAGTGGCTATACCTCCTTGTTTCTGGATCTTGGAGGTTTTATTAAATAGCTCTATTGCCCTTGCTACGCCTAAGCTCTTGACAGTACTGTGTATGACGTAATAATTGGGCTAAATATTTAAAATTATTAAATGATAAAACATTTTCAAGAGGTGCTTTACCTCTTTAAGGCAGCGAGCTATTTCTGCAGCTGCTTTGTCTTCAGACGTAGATGAACTTATGTCAGAGAGTTTATGACAATGCAGAGCTGGAGGGAACTTTCTCCTGTCTCCAGACTCCATGTCAGCATCATTAATATTTCAATATTTCATTAATAAATAATTAATTAGTCGTGTCCGTATAATTAGAATTGCCTATCTTTCTGCTGTCAAAAAGTGAACTAAATAGATTATATCTAATAAAAGGAGGGGGAGATTTCAGAATATTTAAAGGAGATATTTACCTTGCAGATTCCGAATAATTGCAGCTGTTTATTGGAGCCATTAATCCAACTAATTTCTGATGTACATGATACCTATTAATAATAATTATAATAATAATAATAATTATTATTATTATTATTATTATTAATATTGTGTACCGTAGTTTTCTTCCTTTGCTTGCCTTAGTGTCAACTTTCTTTTTTACTTTTGCTCGTAAAGACTGAATTTCTAACCATTTCCTATAAACTGTATTAAATGTCTTCTCTCTCTCTCTCTCTCTCTTACTTTCCCATTGACACCTGGTCAGTGTCATTATCAGTAAATGAAGTCTTGGACTGGATTAATTCTCTTAATAACTACAAATTAGAAAAGAGTATCCTAATAGTCAATTTTATTACATTTTCTGATACATATTGATGTCCTTATGCTGTGTAGAAAGTTTGAGTTGATTCCGACTTCAATTTTTTGAGTTACGGCCATTTTAAAAAATGAGCCAAAATCTGAAAAATACCCAAGGCTATAGCCCATGGTTTTTTTCCAAAAAATGGCTCCGAAATCACCCCCAATTTTTATTACATTTTCTGATACATATTGATGTCCTTATGCTGTGTAGAAAGTTTGAGTTGATTCTGACTTCAATTTTTTGAGTTACGGCCATTTTAAAAAATGAGCCAAAATCTGAAAAATACCCAAGGCTATAGCCCATGGTTTTTTTCCAAAAAATGGCTCCGAAATCACCCCCAATTTTTATTACATTTTCTGATACATATTGATGTCCTTATGCTGTGTAGAAAGTTTGAGCTGATTCCGACTTCAATTTTTTGAGTTACGGCCATTTTAAGAAAACACCAAAAATCTGAAAAATACCCAAGGCTATAGCCCATGGTTTTTTTCAAAAAATGGCTCCGAAATCACCCCCAATTTTTATTACATTTTCTGATACATATTGACGTCCTTATGCTGTGTAGTTGATTCCAATCACTACTTTATGAGTTATGGCAGTACAAACCTGATGATAAAAGTCTTCATCATTAAAGATCTCTTCATCAGCGTCGTTGAGGTGAGAGTCTCTTTCAGCCCCTCCCTCTCTCTTCCTCTTCCCTAGGGTGACCAGCTGCTGCTGTGTCCTCTTCAGTTGTGTTCTCTTTCTCAATTTCGCTTGATCTTTCAACGCAAACTCAATATTACTAACAGCTGATTGCTGTCTACTCTGGTATGAATACGACTAAAAAGAATATTAAATAATAATAGTTAATTAATGTATTATTAATTAATTATTATTAATTACTTTCATTGTTAATTTTCCACTGGCCAGTTGGAGTCTAGTGCTCCATTTTTCTAACACTTTGTTTCTATAGCATCGGAGTCTCTTGTGTCTTTTCTCGATGATACCCTCATACCAGTCCCCGCCCTCTTCCTCTTTCTCCTCCTCCTCCTCTGGGGCGGAGTCAAGTGATTTAGCAATCAGCGTTTCTTGTAGCTCAAGTAAATTCCTCATTAGTTTATTCAGACTAGTCTCGCCTACAGCAGTATTATTATTATTATTATTATTATTATTATTATTATTATTATTATTACATTGATTCAAGCTGGTTGATGCTAGTGGTCCACTCTCAGAGAATTTGGTGGCAGTTTCATTCTGAGGCAGCTGGTTCGTAAGACTCAGACACTTCTGTAGCTTAATACGACCTTCCAGTAGCCCATCCCATAAAGCTAAAGAGGGGGAGAGAGAGGAAAAGAGATAAAGAAAAAGAAGGGGATACTTATAATTAATTTATCATTAAGTTGACAATATCTCAATCATTCTTTATCTTTCTCTCTCTATTACCCAATTGATGTTTGACGGCTTTTCCCTTGTCAACATCATCTTCATTAGTAGCAGCTGGAGTGCGTCCTTTATCCAATGGAAGGATGAATACATCTGATGAATCTTCTTGTGAGTCTGACGAAGCTCCTCCTACTTCTCTCTCCTCCTCCTCCTCCTCCTCCTCAGAATCAGTTTCATCATTGTCCCCCTCTCCCTCAGATAATATGTCCTCCCCCTCTTCCTCCTCCTCCCCCTCCTCTCCCTCAGACAATATGTCATCATCACTGCTCTCTATAATTAATCAATAGCCACACCCATTAATTAATTAATGTATCCGTTAATTACCAGGTGTATCATAATCATTCATTTCATCTCTAGAGATGGACTGACCACCATATTTAGGATCTTCTTCTTCTTCTTGACGAGACAACCTTCTCTTATAACCTCCTTCAAAATGGCTGCTGTTTAACTCCCCTTCTTCTTCTTCTTCTTCTTCGTCTCCTTCCAAATATTCTCCTTCACATATTTTTGCTGTCTCCTCCTCCTCTTCTTCTCTCTCATAGTTAGGTCTGGGATCCACCAGTGAGTTTATCTCTTCTGCTAAAGTCCCAGCTTTCTTCTTTCTTCTACTCCACATGTTTCGAATTATTTTCCCGGGAAAATGGGCGTGCCTATTTAATTTGCCGGGAAAAGAGGTTATAAAGTTTGGTTTATTAAGTTTTGTTTTTCTTGGGTGGGGCTCCTGCAAAATGTCAGGTAAGATCAACAAGTTTATTTGAAAGATAGTTTCATTCTTTCATTACAGATGATGGTGGAAGCAGTGTCTATGGTGCATTTGCCTCCAAGTTAGGCTCTGGAGCAGCTAAAGCAGGCAAGAAGTTTGCTCAATCTGAGGCGGGCCGTTCAGCAACAAGAGCAGCTGTCAAAGGAGCTACTGATGCAGCTGTTAAAGATGTCAGTGACCGCTACCTAGGAGGAGGAGGGGGAGGGGATACCTCAAAACCAGCTCCAGCAGTAGCTCCAAAAGCAAAGCCTCGTACCAGTGGCTCTGGTACGACAGCACCTCCTGTTCCAGCTGCTTCCTATAGCTCACCGAATAATGACGAGGACAGCGAGGATGAGTTTGAGAAGTACAGGCGTGACTCTTATTCTACGACACGCCCACCTCCCAAACCCTCTTTCTTCAAACGTTTCAAACCAAACATTAATTTGAAATTATCGGAAGATTCAAGCAGTAAACCAGCTCCAGTTAGGAAACCAAAAAAGAAGATATACAAATACGCTGCAATCGATAAAGCAGACTGGGAGAAACTCCCAACTGCAATGACTCTGTACAACTTCAGGGCTGAGATGAAGTGTGACCTTGAGTTTCGTAAGGGTCAAATCATTCACGTCATTACAAAAACTGACACGACTAACGACTGGTGGGAGGGAAGATTGGAGGACAGGATTGGAATATTTCCTGCTAATTATGTGAAGATGATGTAAAATCTAAAACAGCAACAACATCACTAAATAACAAAGAATACACTGATGTAGTCATTTATAGAAGGTAGTGTTTGTGTATCACTTATTAGCTGTGTCAAAATTAATGTTTTATTTTTTTCTTTTTTAATATGAATAATTTTAAAAAGATTTAATAAAAATAATTATCTGATTAATGACAGTGTTTAAAAAAACAAAACTTCATTTATCATTTATAGCAAAGAGCTGCTGTGTGATAGTAAGAGGCGGATATCATGAAAGGTTTCCAGCCCTTGAGTCCCTCCACTTGTCTTGGGACGCTACTCAAAAACAAGTAGCGATGTCCTTTAGCCTCAGGGTGACCCAGTCTACCGTCACTGCCACACCCCCAGGTAAACACAGCTTCATCGGTCGCCATGGCAACACTATGAATCCCACCACAGGCGACTGAAGTTATCTTGCAACCGTTAAAGTGGGCGGGGTCTATTCTGGTAGGCGTGTCGAGAGACCTGTCGTTCCCATGGCCAAGCTTACACTTGTATCCGTCACCACAAGAAAAGACGTTACCATCTCCAGTAACTATTAGAGTATGGGAATGGTGCTCACCTGCAGAGCAGCTAACATCAGCTACGTTGATCAATGACTCAACTATCCTTGGAACCAACTGATCAGTCTTATCTCCTCCATGACCCAAAGCCCCATCACTTCCCTTACCAGATGTATACAAGAGTCCTTCATTGCTCATAAAACCAGCATGACAATAGCCAGCATGTATTCTAGTTATCTTAACAGACGAGAGAGACTCGATTTGTGTTGGGATAAACCGATCCTCTCTATCTCCGTGTCCAAGGACTCCAAATCTTCCACTGCCCCACGAATAAACTGATCGAGAATCTTTGCTGATTGCAATTGTGTAGTTGAAGCCACAGCTAACCTCTGAAAATAATACCTGTTAGTGTAATATAATGAAGAATCACTTGATAATAATATCAAGATCACATAAAGGCTCTTGGCAATATTTAATAACAGTTATTATTCATTTTTTCTTATTAAAATATGCCGATAGTATTCTTCATACCTTGCATGATACCTGTATCGGTATTGTAGATACTTCAGGTAGTCCATCAGTAGTCCCCAGTACTCCATGTGCTTTGTTGTAACCCCAAGAGAAGATACCCCCACCTGGTGAGACCAAGCACCCATGCCAATGTCCTGCAGATAAGGAGACGATCCTTTCTTTAGTTCTCACGCTAACAGGCTTCAGCGTGCTCTGATCTAACTCTGAGCCATTCCCCAGTCGCCCATGGAGTCCCCTACCGCAAGAGGAGAGGTCAAGAGAGGGTCCGCTACCAACAAGAGTAAAATGAGCCCCGCACGAGACTGCACGGGGCTGGTTCTTGCTGGAATCAGTTAGAATAGGCTGAGGGAGTTCTTTATTTGTGCTCTGACCGTCTCCTAGCTGACCATATTTATTAAATCCCCAAGTAAACAGTCTCACTGTCTTCCTCTCCTTTTCAGCCATTTTCTTTGCAGGAATGAGCCCCACCCAAAAGAGGTGGGGAGTTGCAACACGTGTTGTCACGTGCTAACACGTGGGTTAGCCCCTCCCACACGACATTGCTACTTTATTTGTAAGTTTTAATTTCTTTTTACTTTCTAAGCCTTTCTCACTGTTTATTTTCTCTTAGGCTGTGCACTACATTTTTTCAAATTTTTAGAACCTTTTCTTTACACATCACATGTACTTTTCAAGAGTCAAGACCACCTGGTAACTACGGCAGCCTATACCATTCTTCTCCAGCCTAATGCTGGCAACAATGTGGTAAGTCCTTTAATCATATTACTTGTGCATTATGTTACAAGCGAGTATTATAACTTTTAAGATATAAAATTACACAATTATCATATAGCATGTGATATACAATTCAAATTATTCATTATTAGCTTATCTTTGAGTACAAAGCAGTTTGTGATACTTCCAGTCTTTAATCTGGCACTCGTAAGAGCAGTATCCTTGCATTCCGCAGCTTGAGCACTCATACTCTGATAGTTTCCCACATCGACAGATATCTGGGTTAGGTGTGAAACCGGTTCTTTGCAGTTTCTCGATCCTTTTCTCTCTTCTACTTTGCTTTCTCTGTCTTCTTTCTTCTTTTCTTCTTGCACTCATTACCCTGCAGGTCCTAACATGGTCCGGCCAGTCATCAGTTTGGCATGTCTCTGAGCAGTATCCTTTACCTCGACAGTCAGTACATTCCAGCTCTGCAAACTTACCACACACACAAAGCTCAAGAATAATTGCATCTATTAAAATAATAATAATAATAACAACAACAACAACAATAATAATAATAATTGTAAGAAGCACAGGCTATAGTACACAGTCATTCATTTTTATTCAAAAGTCTCTGCTTTCATGCTGTTTCATGAGTTATGATGAGTATCACTTACTTTTATCAATTGCTTGTATGTACAGTGTCTTCTCTCTTTCTTCAAATCTCTCCAGTTTTATTTCTTCCTCGTTATCAATTTGAACGAGGTCACCAGGTGTATCAGAATTCAGAAACTGAAAGTAAACATCACTGGTCTCCAGCTGATTGCTATCAATAAAGTTATTCCTGAGGTCTTTAAGAGTCGAAGTCGGCTCCAAATAGACTCCTTTCAAATATATCTCCTCCTCAAACTCGTCAGATTCTTCTAAACATAATTGCAACTCATTCTCAGAAGTGGAGTCATCATCTTCTTTCTGAGTCTCCGATTTTTTAGGTTTTTCAACCGGAATTAATTTGATTATCTGCCACCTCAGTTTAGAACCAATCTTTTCTGGCTCCTTGAACTGTCCAACTTCTCCTGATAATTTTATTTATAATAATGTATAATAATTAATACCATTCCACCTTCTTACCTGTCTCTGATTGAAGCTGTTTCCTTCTGATGACTCGTACAAGTGATTTTGATCGTGTTATTGTAAGTGAGTTCTCATCCCCTTCGATGTCAGTATCTTCAACTGGAGCTGCTGATGGATCAATCGGTTGTATCTTTAACTTCCTCTTGTTTGATTTATTCTTCAGTACAAGTATAACAGCTAATACCACAGCAATCACTACAATGCTCAGTATTAGAAGGACTGGTAGCAATATCCACCATATTTGTATTCCTTCTGGTGCTGTAGTTGATACTGGAGAAAATACTACACAGAATAAAGAGATTATTAATCAACATTGGACAGTTTCTTCTTACTTGGTTCGTCACAGTCATCTCCAGTCCATTCATCCAGGCAGTAGCAGGTTCCATTCACATTATCACAGCTGCTGGTTCCGTTAACGCTACAGTTACACGATATGCTGCAATTGAATCCATAGGATCCTTCTGGACAGATATTGTAACAAGTAGAACCAGTATAACCCGCTTGACAGGTACAGTAGCCAGTTATCGGGCTGCATTCTTCAGGAGAACGACAAGTGCAATTTTGTGAGCAATACTTTCCAAAGAAACCATCAGAACAACCTTGATAAAGAGAATAATGTTTGAAATAAAGATTCAGTACTAACTTTCATTGCATGTTGCTCCAACCCATCCATCATAGCAATCACAGGATCCATTAATAAAGTCACAGAGTCCATTCTCACACAAACAATCCTCAAGACATCCCTTGCCCCAGTGTGGAGGCTCACACTCTAAAAATATGAATTCAAATCTTGTCGGTTTAATGCTTTTATTGTTTCTCACTTGTTTGGCAGCTGTCTCCAGCCCAGCCTGGTTCACAGTCACAGTCTCCGTTAACTTGTGAACAGGTTCCTCTTTGATTGCAGCGACAGAACTGTGAGCACTCATACCCCCATAGACCTTGAGGACACACTGTGAATAAAGAAGACATTATTGTGTCATTTATAACTGTTGCTATAATACTTATCTCTCTCTCCTTTGTACATTACATCTTACATTCATTGCAACGTCTTCCATAGTAGCCACTTGGACACTTATCAATGACAGCAATTTCATTTGATAGTTCACAACTGCATTCAACCACAGTAGATGAAACCTACATGTATATATAATTAAAATAGTACATGTACATAGTAATTATTAGCTTGCAATAGTTCATGTACTTACAACAGTAGTGTTAATACATTGGGCCCATTGCTCTGTTACATTATTCCAATAGACACACTCAATGGCTCCACTGTCACTGATTGGATAATACAGTGAGAGGAGAACTGAGACATTCGTCATTAGACTATCAGTAACTCCCTCTTTACTGAATACATCTATCCTAACTGGTTGGGATTTGATGTGATTAGAGAATGGGTTTCCGTTCCAATGGGAATTGAGGACGGCCTGTCTACTTATCATGCAAACTCCTTCACAACTTGTCAAGTTACCCAAAGAACTCAATGTTGTGCAGTATCTTTGGACGTATTCTTTAAAAACCTTCTCACCAAATGTTACAGAGCTGGTGAAAACAGGACAATTGACTTCTCCATCATCACATGCAATGTTGAAGCCCCATGGTGGTATGCTGTAGTAGACCTTCAGGACTCCAAAGTATGGACTTGTTAATGATATAGCTTCGTCCTGTGCTTCTAACTGCTGGCAAAGACCATATCCTATTGTATCTGATATTGCTTGATAGCTTGAATCAATTTGATTTGATATAATGCGATATTGATCATAATTGATTTCATTAGTTCGGTGTGATTCTCCCAATTGATTGTAAATGCTTAGAATCAGCTCAGCCTCTTGCCTTGAAACTCCATTATCAAGAAATACACCACTACTAGCAGTATAACTGGTAACTATGGTCTCCATTCCTTTCAATAATGATGCCACTGTGTCCATTGGTAACTGAATACCTGGAGACAGTGAGAGTTTCAATATATTGAGTACTATTGAAGTGAATGCTTTATGATGTGGTAATTGTGTTGATAAAAGATTTAGAGCAAGATCAATAGATGATATTTTAAAATACCTCACACTGTCCTCACCTCCAGCTACCATGTTACCAGTAGCATTGCTCACTGATGAAAGAAGAACTGTCAAACTCGCTAGTCCTTCAATCCACCTTTTCTCAAGTAGAGAGAGTCTCTGAATATTCTCCATTAAACCCGTCAGGTCTAATACTGTGTCTGGTTGTGAAATACTAATAGACTTCCATGCCATATTGACCGATCCTTTAGTATCAAACACCTCCATAGCTACTAATAGACTGGAATTATCATGAGCTGGTGTTGGAAGAATACTAGAGATATGATCTCTGCCGGTTATTGGTGTCATCCATGTTATCTCCGATATATTGTGACTAAGAGAATATCCATACCTGTACTTCAATGGCATATCATCATGTTCATCAGTCCAATGAATAGCCCTTATTGTGTACAGTGTTATCAATGCTGAACCTCCATTTAAAGGTTCTACTAGTAACTGACCTGATGATGGAGGAGAGCCAGTATATACGTCAACTTCAGCATATCTCCCTCCTTCATCTTCTCCGCTTTCTTTAAAAGACGACAAACGGAATTTGTATTTGTTATTAGGTAGCAGAGCACCTCCTGGTATTACGAGTGCTACTGGGTTTGAGAAACCTTTGTGTTCCGATGAAGAAAGGAGGGCGTGGTTCTCTTCACTGATTGATTCTAAGTAGCTTGTTATTCTAATTGAAGTTTTATTTGGCCCAAGAGTGTCACTGATATTTATATAAGCATATCCTAATGAAAAGCAGAGATTTGATTGATTAGAGTGAATTATTATTACATTTTCTGATGCATATACATGTTCTTATGTTGTGTAGAGAATTTGAGCTGATTCCGATCAAAATTGTAATTATTAAAAATGATGATATCAGCTCAGTTTAAACTAACATGTTTTGCTATTTTGTGTGGTCGGTATGTGCTACATGTACGTGTACATGTAAACATGTGCAACGACATGTATAGCCATGTACATGTACACGATAATGATAATGGAATGACATTCTTGTCCTCATAGCTACAGTGGATCATGTAGCTACAGCAGATCATGTAGCATATTATGTTGTTTGTGGTTTTGGTGTACATGTCTCTATCACATGTTCATTGTTGACAGTTGTTCTATAGGCAGGACCATCTCTCATTACAACCTAATGCATTCCAATCTTGTTATCATTAGACTTCACTAGACAAATCACTTGTCACACATCAAAAGAATTAGTAACTATATTCGTTTGTTTGTTTGATTTTGAGTTATGAATAACTAAACACATCAGTGCTAATATTATATGTATATTAGTAGCTGTCATTTTGTTTGAACTAGAGAGATTCATGCAACACAATAATCTAATGGATGCTTAGTTACACTCCTCTCTCTCCCTCTCTCCCTCCCTCTCTCTCCCTCTCTCTTCCTCTCTCTCTCTCTCTCCTTTACCTGCTGTTCTAATACAGTTCCATGTCACTGATCCACTTCCAACTGATCTCACTCTCCCTCTTATTGCAGTCGTTCTATGAGTGGCCACAGGCGTTGATGATCCCATCAAATACACTAAAGTAACGTTACTATCATTATTGATATTACTTATGATAATCTTCTGGCTGGTATTATATTGAATTGATTGACTATAGAAACTTGCCGTTATTTCATACGAACCAGCAGATAGTAAGAGGCCAGGTATATAGTTCTGAAATGAAGAGTGTTGGTGAAAGATACCAGTTCCACCACAAGTGCCATTATTCATCTCATTTCTACAACTCCAAATAACTTCATTTTCATGAGCTGTTTGTCCCAAACTAGGATTGATATCTAATCTCAATGGAATGTTGTCCTTCACATCATAAAGAACAACATTGCCACCTTGAATGACAGAGCTGTCTATCTTAGCTGATTCTCTGCTCAAGATCAAAGTGACATTACTTGTTATGTTAGTCGTGAGTGTTCCTGATGTGACACTTATTGTCAACAGGTAATGATCCTGTTCTCTCAGCGTGTGAGGGGGGAGCAAGATTAGAGGTGATTTAAAGGTAACATGGCGACTGGTAAACCCCGTAAGAGGGACAAAACTCATGTTCTCAGTTTGTAGCAGCCATTGATAGTACAACGAAGAGTTTAATATCATACAATAATTCACCAGCATTGTCTCTATTAATAGCTCTTTATTTGGAGCTATTCTCTTCTCTCTTCCACCAATCACTGTTATCAGAGGTGTGTTGGGGTCTGTGGTTGGATCTTTTGTTAAAGTGATGTTTTTTGTGTCCTTGTGTCCTAAATAATTCTGGACAGTTAAAGTGAAAGTATAGTCGGTATAATCAGTAAATAATGATGATGATAGAGTAATGGTTGCTTGCTCTGTGAAACCTTTTGGTAGTGCATCTTGTATTGAGTATAATGACTCCAGTTCATCTTCTGATCCTGATCCAATAGTATCAGTACTGGTTATATTCCATTCATAAAGCATTGGAGCTGGTCCAGGATATAGAGAGCTTGAGGCATGCAGGGTTATATTACCACAAGTTGGTATGGTTTGTGGGTGTTCTATGATTGCTACTGGTAGCAGATCAACTCTGTTAGATTGTACAGTCACGTTTCCTTGAGAATGCTTAGAGAATGCTACATAACGGGTACGTAAGCTATTATGTATCAAGCCAAGTACTGAGCCAGGGTTTATTGTATTGTTGATACCCAGTTTTATCTCTATGCCTCTTTGTAGCGTGTTCAACCAATCACATTTCGCTCTGTCTCCAAGCGACTCTACTGAACTGCTGGTAAATATAAGATTACAGTTTATACTATTAGAAATGCTTGTAGAATTAAGCTCTTCTCCTCCTATTTCAACTTCTCTGTCGAAAGTGAGGATTATTGATGAGTATGACGGCTCATATGAGGAGGACACTGGATGAGGAGGAGTAGCAAAATATGTAAACAAGTTTGTTATGTTATAGTCTAAAGTTGATAGTCTTGATACAGTCTGACCATTCAAGTATACGTCAAGGATAACTTGATATGTCATTGACTGTGGCGGTAGCTCACACTGAATGCGACTGGTATTGTAATAGACTCCAGGGAATGAGGTCGTCCCAATGTTACACGTAATACTAGTGGTGTTTACAAATCCGTTACCATAGAGATTAACAATTGTCGACTCTGTCCTGTAGCCCCAGTTTGGTTGGATGGATGTGACGTTTATGGTCCCCAAGTCAAACATTGTTATATTAATGTGGCCAGCTGCTCCTTTCACTGACAGTAGCATTGTGTTGTTTCCATTTTCTTTGATTGACGATATCTGCTCTGAACTGACAGCTGGTACCACACACGTCATGTACGTATTATTAATGATAGTATTAACATCAAATGTTATTGCTAATAAACTTGACAATGTCAATTGGCATCTTGGTTCAGGTATATTCAGGAACCCTGTTCCATTAACATGAAATGTCGTGCCGCCAGCATAAGGGCTACTGGTCGGGTGGACACTGGTCAAATCTGCTGCCTCTGCTACATGTGTACTTGTTTTGAATATCAGTTCGTTGCCTAGCAACATGATGTACATGTAAATAAACATTCGGAGGTTGAGTGGGGAGTAGCTCATGATGAACAGTATAAGATGATAATAACTCTCTCTCTATCGATGTTTGTTATGGTCACAGTTTGACCTAAATAAAAAATAATAATGATGATGATAATGATTGTTGTTACTGTTATTGTTTAGCATTAATGATTTTGTGTGATGAATAGTCTGAGAGCTTTGTGTAGGAGGAAAGCTACACTGCCATAGTACAATTCCAAGGAATGCAGGGAGAGGAGAGGCGTTAACTTTAAAAACTAATTTTCAAATAACTTCCGTTCCTCAACAATAAACTCGAGACATTCTCTGGAAGTCTGTCTCTGTCTCTTCTCGCTCTCGCTCTCTCCTCTCTCCTGAGTCCTGACCCGTGGAAGAAGCAGGCACTCCATCCACTCACCTTTAGTGGTTCCAGGACCTGCTGCTATCAGATAGCGAACGACAGCGCAGCTACACAGTCAAGAACAGTCTCCTCTCTCTCCTCCGTTTCTCTGCTGGGAGGTGTATGAATATCAGTTGGAGAAGAGATAGTGTCATTCATATGTTTACTCGTGAATATCAGCAACCATATCCATTATAATAATTTTAACACAAAGTCATATTATTTTTAGTAAGTCCAGAGAGACAGCACATGTACATTAATACATCTTTCTCTAGATTCAGACCTACAGACAATATGTACTCCTCATCGACCCTTTCCTCCTCCTCCTCTCCCTCATTCACCAACAGACGTGGGAACATCAAGTTCTCATCGGCAAAATTCTCAACTGCTTTGCCACGTCCACGAAGGACAGGAGGACTCCTCTCGTTTCGTAGCACCAGAAGATCAGCACCACGACCGACTCGTGTCAAGGCAATATTTGACAGCATTCTTAAAGGATATGTGTATGTTTCTCTCTCTCTCCCTCCCTCCCTCTCTCTCTCTTTCTTTCTATGTATTATAATGTCGGTATGTTTGGAATCCTTGCTCTATAGCTGTTTCTTGTTTGCTACACTGTCACTTCTTATAAACTTACCAGTAGGCCAATAACAGCATTAGATAATGTCATGGAGTAGTTCTAGTGTGTATTAGGAAGAGTAATTCATTATTATATTATAATGAGTCCTTCTTACTATCACTATTAGTACTATAATGTGTAATGTGATAATCTTGGTGTGGCAATTTATTACTAGTCTGTGAGTGGTTGTTGTCATTTGTCACTGACTCTCTTTTACTGTCAGTGCAGTGAGATTTATCTAAACATACAACACCATTATGGCCCCGTTTTTAAATTGTGTGGTCTTCTTTTGACGGGTGTATCTCATTTTCTCAAGCAAGCATTAGAAAAGTGGCTCAGTTGTTCTCCAGTTAATCTTCCCCTCCCTCTCTCTCTCTCTTTCCTTCCCTACATGTACTTGTACTTGTAATAGTTTATTTATTTGTTATCACCTCTTCCCTTCTCTTCATGCATGATTACCATCTGCAAAGAGCGGAACTCAACTCTCCTGCTCTACCTAAGCAGCTGTTATACATATACAGTGTAATATGTACATTCTTTTTAGAATAAATGATACATGAGATTGGAATTTGCATATAATGAAGGATACATTACATTTATGTACTTCTTTTTGATTCTGATATTCAATTACTGATTATTGTGGCTTATCTTTTTTGTTTTTTTATTTTTGTTATATTCTTGTCTCCTCTAGTGATGGTATTGGTGCTGTCAAAGGTATTGTGGACAGTATGAAAGAGCAGCTGCCATCAGAAGAGGACCAGTTTACTCAATCAATCAGCAGCAGACAGCACTACTTCATGGATAGAGATAAAGTAGGATATTTTCCTTAAATCCACTGATGTATTTCATCCTCTCTCTCTCTCAGAGTTTAAAAGCTTTGGAACGTAAGATCAGGACATTAGAAGTACAGAAAGACAGGGTAAGATATTACAGCAACACTTTAAAATGAAACTTTGTTCTATGACAGATTGAGGAACTCAGAGATGAATATCTCCTCAAACTAAAGCTGAGAGAAGGTTAGAATAGATTTGGTGTTAATTTATAATCCTTTAATGCTGTAGCAGCTGCTAATTTGAATAACTGAATTCTCTTGTTTAGGTGCTTTTAATCTGGCACAGGCACTGTCTAACAGACCTTCAAGAACTGGCAAGGAGAAGTTAAATGAAGCAAGGATTGAACAGAAAGAACTTTCTGAGGTACAAAAAATAGAGAAAATGGATAAAAATAAAATCTTTTAGGATCTTTGTGACATTGAAGATGAACTTGAAACAAAGCTTGGAGTGTTTAAAGTCAGAATTAATAGTAAGTAGAGAGTAACAAGCAAGAAAAGGCAAAAAAAAGAGCAAGTTCACACAGCAAAAAAGAAAAAAAAAGGAGCGTGGAGAATCCGGGCATCGATCCCGGTACCTCTCGCATGCTAAGCGAGCGCTCTACCATTTGAGCTAATTCCCCAAAGCTTGGACTTCCTGTCTTTCTCTAACATTTTATAGTGCACGCATGATTATGGCTTTTCTTTAAAAATGACTTATAGTCACTTCCGATTTTACTGATGCATAATGATGTCCTTATGGAAAACTTGAGCTGATTCCAACTTAAATTTTTCAAGTTATGACCATTTTTAAAATGAGGGAATTTTTGAAAAATATCCTGTAACTGTAGCCGTTTCTATCATAGATTTCTCCACTTTACCTCGGACCACAACAGCGAGTGAAGTGATAGAGACACAACTGAAACTGTCCAGTCAAAAATGGAAGGCAAAGTGTAAGATTGGAAAACACCAGCAGCAAATGTGGCAAGACAATGACGTTAGTCTTTGAAATGATAATAATTAAGAGAATGGACTTTCTCTCTCTCTTTATTCAGATATTTTTGTTGTGCAAGTTAACGGACGAATTATTTTTAAAAGTTATTGAAGTGAAGAGGATTCAAGGAAATAATTTGATTGGCTCCGTCAAGTGTCAGACGAGAGAATTCTTTACCTTTTCACCTCAAGTGAGAATAAGACCCAATTCCTTGTGACATTGGACCTTTTTAGGTTGTCACAGTAACTCTACCAGCTGTCCATAATATTAAATTGAACCTTGAGATAAGATGGAGGTTAGCTTTAAATTACATGTACATATACTGACCTTACTGCCCCCCCTCCCTCTCTCTCTCTCTCTCTCCCTCCCTCTCTCTCTCCCCCTCTCTCTCAGTCCATTGATAGCTGATGATTTCTTATCTGATCTTGATCTTAAACCCATTTATTGTCACATTGGTGCTCCTATAGCCCCAGGACCTCACAGGTTAACACACACACCTCACAGTCTAGTTGCCTACAACACACACACCCTCACCTTTACTTTACAACCTATTCTTATTGTATCTGTATAGCTAGTAAAGACATTTGTTATTTTGCTAGCCATTCATCAAAATAAAACTGGCCATTTTGAGCCATTATGTGCATACTCAATGGCACATGGCCACAGATTCACCAAATTAAAACCAGCCAGTCAGCAATTCTGCTATAATAAACAGTATCATTAATTCATTATCTCATGTACAGGTACATGTACATGAGATAATTGATTTATTACATTATGAAGTGTCTGACTCAAAGTCTGTGGCAATACTACACATTAGTATCATTGGTATCATTGGTATGTACACACTGCAAGGTCATGCTCCTCTTAACTGATCCAATTTAACATCAAAAGATGGTTACAATTCTTTTATTAAGTACAGCAACTTATTGAGCTTCACTTAATCTTGTATATGTACATGTACAAGTATGTATTCAGTACTATTCACTGAGTGTGTGTGTGTGTTCTTTAGGCTAAGTAATGTCTCAAGGTCTCATGGTAAAGCTGGTTCTAGAGATAAAGAAAAGAAAAGATCAAAAGATAGTTCGATTGAAAAGATACGAATAAGAACTGAGGTAATTTTAATAATAATAATAATGATAATAATAATAATAATAGTAATAATTACATACTTCCTTTCTCCCCCCACTCTCTCTCTCCAGTCTCCTGAGCTCTTGTTCAAGAGTAGCGGCAGTTTTGATGCTAAAGCTGAAAAGGCTCGTCCAAAAAGTACCTCAGACTTGCTGAGTAAGCAGATTATTCCACCTGACCTGAACGATGTCAAGAGAGTATCAAAGAACAGAATGTTTGAAAGTGAGTCTAGTTTATATCATTATTTATTTATTTATTTATTTATTAGGTTCTTTATCCCAACCTTCTGATTCTTCCCCTCTCCTCCAGCGACACCAGAGGAGCAGTAGTGCCGGTAAATCACATGACACTCACACGACCTTTACATGTACATGTACACCAGGTTGTCGTACAGCTGCTAGAGTATCAGTATCAGGTGTGAGCTCGGATCATGAGATTGTTAGTTTAGAATCAACAGGATCTGAAGGGGGCGGGGCAGGGGGAGGGGCTTCTCCAGGGAACACAGTTCGTCCTCAGAATATCTCATTATCCTCTCTACTGGAGTCAGTGCTGCTGGCTCTTGAGGAACCTAAAGGTATTCAGTACACTCCAGTATACTTCTGTATATTTCAGTATATTATTTGTATATTTCCGTTCACAGAGCAGTACAACGAGCTGAGAGCATTAGAGACTCAACTAATGAGACTACAGACTGCTTTAAGAGTACGTGCAAAATTATAAATAAAATAAAAGAATAAAAATATGCACACAAATACTGTTATTCATGCAACCTTTACATGTAGTGTATTTAATATAGTCAACTGTATAGATGTACATGTACATACTTGTATATGTACATGTACATGTACGTATTCATTATAATCCTTTCATTCTCTCCCTAGGGAGGTAGATTGGTCAAGGCTCCATCAGTGACTCTTAGTGAGAGCAATGCTCTTGATTCTTTTGATTTCTTAGACACTGGACTCACCTCTGGGGATGAGCCCTCAGATCAAAGAAGAGGCTCACACCAGCTCGCTCAGATATCAGAGGGCGTGGCAATGGGTGGAGCTTCACCAGCGTCAACCCATACCGGCAGTACAAAGTCCCTGGAAGGTACCAAGACAGAGTCTTTCAGTGACTTTATATCGTTACAAGAAGAACTGTTGGCATCATCAAGCACTGATGGGAAGAGGGAACAGGCCTCTCTCTCTCCTACTGCTGACGGGGGCCCTGTTGTTGTCAAGGAGACGACAGGAAGTGAGTCAATAGATCGGGTTTTAATGCAGCACCTCCTCCACTGTGAATTCTTATTACAAGTAAGTGACATTGTGGAGGAGAACTGTCTTTAGGTGACTCTCTCTCTCTCCCTCTCCAGCACTTACAGGCTATAGGTCCTCTTAACCACAAACTGTCCGTTGGACTCAAGAAGTTGTTTCATGAGGCGGAGATCATACGAGACTTGTTGAACTATGCAGCCGATGTTGAGAACATTCCAAGAATAGAACAAAGTACAGAGAGGGACAGTACAGCTAGTATACAGTATATGTTGTATTTTCTCTTCTGATAGTTCTGCCCGAGTTAGCTGCTTCAGATCATCTGTTTCGTTTCTGGAAGTCTGTGGCCGTCAAAGATGATGTAAGTGTGACATGTGCTTGTACCTGGTCTGTACCGGTTATTAAAACCTGTTTTACAGGATCTGTGTGTTAGTTGCGGCCTCTTTGTGATTGCACTGGACGAGAAGTACGGACAAGGACTTTGGACTGACTTCCCTGAGATTGCAAATAAAGGTATCTGGATCAGTGTTAATACATGTATATCAGTGTTAAGATCAATTTAAATATATCAGTGATAAGATCAGTGTTAGTGTTAAGATCAGTGTTAATACATCAGTGTTAGCATTAATGATATTTTTCTTTTTTAGTATTTTCTGAATTATTAACTCGAGTGCTTGATCTTGAAGGAGACGAGTGTGATCCGGTTGAAAATAAAATGGCAGTCACTGTATATCAGTACTGCTCCTTCTTCCTTCAAATTGGCAGCACTAAAGCAATACCCAAAGCATTGAAGGAGATTGCACAAGAAAGTATGTTATTTATTTATTTGTTTATTTATTTATTTATTATTATTAATTAGTGAGTATAACTGAGGGGCTGCGAGATGGTGACGCTGAATCAAGGGCGAAAATAGTAAATTATTAGTAAATTATTAGTCTTTAATCCAGTAAATTCACAATTAATGTACTTGCATGTATTCCTCTGTACATTAGGCAGGCCTATTGCCTACTTATCCGTTCAATCATGGGGCACTAATTGCAGCTGCTTATCTGATGACTGATAGACAAACTAAAGATGCAGCTGGTAAATGATTCACTTCTTATCACTTCTTATCACTTCTTGTTCATTACTTTCTTTAGTGGCTTATTTGAGTAACTTTGCTGGTAACAGTCCCTGGAGAGCTAAGGTATAAACATTCATCATATAATGATGTCCTTATGCTGTGTAGAAAGTTTGAGCTGATTCCAACTTGAATTTTTAAAGTTATGGCCATTTTAAAAAATGAGCCAATTTCTGAAAAAATCCCTGTACTATAGCCCATGGTTTTTTCCAAAAAATGGCTCCGGAATCACTCCCAATTTTTATTACATTTTCTGATACATAATGATGTCCTTATGCTGTGTAGAAAGTTTGAGCTGATTCCGACTTTAATATTTCAATTTATGGCCATTTTTAAAAATGAGCCAATTTCTGAAAAAATCCCTGTACTATAGCCCATATGGTTTTTTCCAAAAAATTGCTCCGAAATCACCCCCAATTTTTATCACATTTTCTGATACATATTGATGTCCTTATGCTGTGTAGAAAGCTTGAGCTGAATCCAACTTGAATTTTTAAAGTTATGGCCATTTTTAAAAAATGAGCCAATTTCTCAAAAATACCCAAGGCTATTAGTAACGCGGTAGCATTACTAAGTAGGATTCACCCCCAAACAAAATGGCTGCCACGACTTTTGCAGCCTTGCTATACCGGGAAAACGAGCTCCTATGCTTACCATAGCCCATGGTTTTTTTCCAAAAAATGGCTCCGAAATCACCCCTAATTTTTATCACATTTTCTGATACATATTGATGTCCTTATGCTGTGTAGAAAGTTTGAGCTGATTCCAACTTCAATTTTTCAAGTTACTGCCATTTTAGGAAAATGTCAAAATTCTGAAAAAATGGCTGCAAAATCACCCTCAGTTTCTATTACATTATCTGATATTTATGTACGTGTTTGCTCCTCTGTAGGCTATACAGTATTACATTGAATCGTTGGAGCATTCTGATCAGGCAGTCCGTATTGGGGCTTGTCATGCACTTGGACAATTGAAAGTGGGTTTTAAATATCCAAAATTTTATATGATTGAGGTATCAAAATTAATTGTACGTAGGCGGAACAAGCGGTGAAGCAGCTGAAGTATTTGGAGAAGGTTGATTTCTCTCCTGTCAAGGCAGCTGCAAGTCAAGCACTGAGAGAACTAGGTATGAATGAATTAATAAATAAAATAATGATGATTATTTTTGAACTTTGTTAGATGATTCTTTATCAAAAGAGGGATCTGTCCTTACCGTCTCTCTAGTGGAACGAGGAGGAGGAGGAGGAGGAACACCTGCTGATCCCTTTCTTGTTAAATTAGGACAATTCAATGGAAAACTGAGTGGAGCCTCAGGAGGCATGGCAGATATACCACGTACAAGAAGTGCCGAGTGTATATTATTGTTGGACTCAAATGACTACAGAACAAAATTATAGTTTAAATAAATATAACCATCGTCTATAATAGTAATGCATAATTTTATTTCAAAATCTACTCTCACTCCCTCTCTTTCTCTTTACAGATTTTATCACTTGCAATTGTTGTGTCTAATCTAAAATAATGTATCTCTTGTCTCTTGACCAAAACCTCTCTCTCTCTCTTCACTTGTGTGTTACCATTCAAAATTATAATTATCATTATACCTAAATAATTATTATTAATTGAGTGGGTGTGTTCACATGATAGCTTGCGCTGTTATAAATGCAGCATGAAGTTGCTTTTGCAGCATTGCTTCTGTCATGGCTTCATTGGCTGCTGCTTTCGTAGATTTATTTAAAGTTCCACTCGCAATCAGAAGACTCAATGGCTGGAGGCAAGTAGATGAAGACGAGAAGTGGGCCGACAAAGCAGTCCAGTCATTAGTGAAGAAAATAAAGAATCGCAGAGGAATGATAAATGAACTTGAGCGAGCACTAAAGGATAAGGACGATGGAACAGGGTGCATCACTGTAGAGCGTAGCCTGGACGGGAGGCTGCAGATCTGCCACAGGAAAGGACTCCCTCACGTCACCTACTGCAAAATCTGGAGGTGGCCTGACATACAGACCCACTACGAGCTCAAGGCGATTAGTTCCTGCGAGTATGCATACGAGAATGATTTGGAGCTAATCTGTGTCAACCCATATCATTACAAGCGTGTTGAAGCACCAGGTATCCATTGCATTACTGCACTTGTTGACTATGTAAAGTTTTCCTTTCTTTTTAGTGTTACCACCAATATTAGTTGAACGTATTCCAACTAAAACCAAGAATTGTTATGTTCCTAAACCCAGCTACTGCTCACAGCCCTTAATACAAGGTACCTAATCATTTGAAAGAAAAAGTATAATCTTTTTTTTTCATAAGTTGGACCGAGTGGAATCGTTGCTTCAGTACAGCAGAATGAACAGCAGTCTTCCTCAACAGGACAACTGGAGCAAGCCCCTGGAAGGCCTACTGCTGATCATGGTGAACAGCCTGTCTTGTTGAATTCTAATTGTGGCCATCCTCCTTCTTGTAAGCATGTACATGTACTTGCCACATGTACACAACTATTGATTCACAAGTGATGTACATTCTCATGTAGTTTTTACTGATGATTATACTGATAGCATTGCTGTATTGGTTAGTAGTATATCTATGGTTTGTTTTTATTTTAGCTACGCCTGGTCTTGTCTTTGTTGATAGAGCTACAGCTACTAATGCTACAGCTACTAATGCTACAGCTACTAATGCTACAGCTACTAATGCTACAGCTACTAATGCTACAGCTACTAATGCAGAGCCTTACTATCAGCAGCCAGTAGCAGGTGAATTAAACCATACCAGCTGCTTCAGTTAATTACTTTGCATGAACACTTTCTTTTAGATTCTCCTCTTTCCAGCAAAGAAGAGAACAATGGAGCTCACTATCGTCTGCCTTTTGAAGGCTGGGACAGCACACAGGAAGACTCAGGAGAGTCAGCAACCAGTGGATACTATGAGCAGCAATTGGACCAACAACTGCAACACTCATTTGACTCTTTTCAGCCTGTGGGGCTTGAACCACTGGACTTACAACTGTCTCCTAGGATTAACCAACTATCACCTGACGAAGAGCAGCAATATTACCCTCAACTGCCACATTCATTCGACTCGTTTCAGCCTCTGGAACCGCCCAACCTGCAGCTGTCCATCCCAACGCTCAATGAAATTGGACTATCTGTTGACATAGATCAGTTGGAGCCTACAATAAGAGCTGAAGGTATCTCGCTTCCTATTGGACAGGTACCAGGAGACCAGCTACTAGAGCCTTCAGAAATATTGGAACAGCTGGTCATGGATTCACTGATACCTCCTCTTGAAGTTGGTCCTAGTCAGGTCAATCCTACGTATTACCCTGCTCTCCCTTTACCTCCATGTGGCTCTGCCACCAACTATATGCCACCTTGTTTACCTCCTTTGCATCCAATGCTCATATCTGGTTGTAGCTCCTCATCCAATCCATCACAGCAACTATCAGCTTCAGCTAGACCTCCCCCTCTTCAGCCATCAGGTAATTCATCACAGCAACCATCAGCTTCAGCTAGACCTCCCCCTTTTCAGCCATCAGGTAATTCATCACAGCAACCATCAGCTTCAGCTAGACCTCCCCTTCCTCAGCCATCAGGTAATTCATCACAGCAACCATCAGCTTCAGCTAGATCTCCCCTTCCTCAGCCATCAGGTCATTCATCACAGCAACTATCAGCTTTAGTTAGACGGCTCCCTTTTCAGCCATCAGGTAATTCATCACAGCAACCATCAGCTTCTGCTAGACCTCCCCTTCCTCAGCCATCAGGTAATTCATCACAGCAACTATCAGCTTTAGTTAGACGGCTCCCTTTTCAGCCATCAGGTATTTCATCACAGCAACCATCAACTTCAGCTAGACCTCCCCCTCCTCAGGCACCAGGTAATATTGAGTGTCTGTATTTGACAGCTATCATGGGAGGGATGTAGTGTCAACAGGCAATACTTGTACCCCACTCACTCATAATGTTTTAACACATTATCAGTCTGATTTAGTTCCCATTAATATAGTGCATCATTGATTCTATTAATAGTACATTATAGTACATCATTGATTCTATTAATAGTACATTATAGTACATTATTGATTCTATTAATAGTACATTATAGTACATCATTGATTCTATTAATAGTACAGTATTCTGTTTTTAGTTCCTAGTGAGCCAATGCCTGAGATAATATCGGTCTCATATGAAGACACAGCTGTTTTGTGTTCAGTTCAGTATCATGAACTCACCCAGTCCTTGGACTCTCCTTTTGATGCTTTATCATCTCATGAACATATTGTAGTGGATGGTTTTACGGATCCAAATGAACCTGAAAGTAGTCGTTATTGTCTTGGTAGAATCACAAATGTCAATCGTAATGAGACTATCAACAAGGCTAGGAAGTTTATTGGAAATGGAATAATTATACGATACCGTAATCATGAGCTGGTTGTAGAGAATCATGGCTCTGCAGCGGTATTTGTTAACAGTAAGATGACCAATTTTGAGCATTGCCTTCCCAGATCAACAGTTATTAAAGTTCCTAATAACTATTACTTGAAGATATTCGATACGAACCTTTTCTCTTATGTCCTGTCCAAGACTGCAAAGGATGGACGGGACGAGACAATGGACCTTGTTGAGCTTTGCAGCATCCAGCTCAGTTTTACCAAAGGATGGGGGGAAGGCTACAGCAGAAAGGAAGTTACTAGCACTCCTTGTTGGATCAATATGGCACTCAGTGCTCCACTGAAGTGGCTTGATCAGGTTTTGCTTGCATTGGAGCCGTCTGATAGCGTTTGTGGGTCTAATACTTGATGCACTTTGAGTAGGAACTGATCTCTTTCATATTTATCCTCTTATTCATCTTCCTGTCATCCTCCAGTTATCATTTATTTATCATTCTGTGATCGTTATCAGTTGTGTTGTTTTTGTTAGATAATTATCATAATAAAAGATCTATAATGTTAACAATAATTAAAATATTAATAGCTACTCTCTCTTTCTCTCAATGCAATAAAACACTCTTAATTACATTATTTAACAGCACAATGAAGTATATAAATTAAAACTGTCATTACTCCTATCTTTAGTCGAGTATATTAAAAGTTCCATCATTATTCTTCCCAACCTTTCCTTCCTTCACCAGCTGCTGTAAGACCACATATACTTTATCCCTTGTTGGTTGATTTAAAAGATCTTTAAGATCAACTGCTGTAAAAGATTTATTTTTGTTTTTACTTAAGTGGTTTAAAACAGCTTCCCTCAAGTCTGTTTCACTTAAAGAAAGAGAAGACATACCCTCTGTGGGAGGAGCTGTAGCAGAACTGTTGCTAGGCAACGAGGAACCATCGCTAGGTGAATCAGTGCTGACGGTTGGTTTGGACTTCACTGCTCCTTCTCCTCCCTCTCCCCCAATGTTCTCATCAGTTGCTGGAACAAAAGATATAATGTCATCTTTGGTTTCTAGCGTGTATAATTTCTTTCCTTTTAATTCAAGTTTTGTCCCAGTAGATTTGGACGAGGGAGTTGTGACCTCTCCTCCAAACCCCTTCTTTACCCAGAACGGCTTCTGACCAGCTGGGGCTATACTTTCAGCAATATCAGAGTTATGGAGAATGTTTGTTACATCTTTTTTAGCGACACTAGAGTCGTTCAATTTTCTAACAATGTCTATAGTAGAACATGCAGATTCACGCTCTGTCGGAAGCAATCGAACTATTCGTTCTTTAAGCTCTTCTTTCTTAGTGTCTTTTAAAGGTGTAGCACCAGAGCTAGCGGACGAAGTGGCTGAAGGAGAAGGAGGAGCGTCTGAGAGTCGAGTAGTAGAATCAGTGGCGACAGTAGGAGACGATGATGATTTCAATCGCCATTTTGGAGCACCACTCGTTTTTATAGATTCTAAGTCTTCCATTCTATATAAAATTGAGTTGAGTGTTTTCTTATCTTTCTTGATCTCTTTGCCAATTTCTATAGCTGTCATTGGTCCCTGTTTGAGGAGCTCTCTTATCTGCTTCTTTGTCTCCTCGTCCGCCATTTTAATTTAGCCACGCCTAGAAATTATTAGCCACACCTAGATCTAATTCTTTCATAATGATATTCATAGTGAACCTAATTAATATTCATTGATTGATGTCGGATGATTGATCACCTCTTTTAGAGCCTTTTTTCAAAAGATCTTCTTTTATCTTCTCAGTAAAACAGTATTAGCTGGCCCCGTATCAATCCCTCCATTTTAAAACCTGCTCCAATGGACAGAGAGCCAGTACCAAAGAAGCCTCGTGTAGGAGAAGAGGAGAGCAATGGGCTCCATTCACCAGTGACCCTGTGTCACACTGCTCCCTCTAATGAGCTCTGGTACCAGGAGAGTCTAAAGGCGCCAGAAGCATTCTGGGACCAGCTGGCTAAGGAGAGGCTGGAGTGGATCAAGCCTTACGATAAAGTGATGGACGTTGATATGAACTCTGGGGACATTAAATGGTTCATTAATGGAGTTTTAAATGTCACAGGTAAAGAGGCTCGTGGTTTTTCATAGCAACATGAATAGTGGCTGTTGTTTTCTTTTCGTATTTTTCAATTTTTTAAAAAAGTCTGTTTTGCATAAAAAGGTCAATTTTACCGCCCACACCCCTAATTAACAATTATTACTATTCATTAATATTCATGAATATTATCATCATCATTATTATTATTATTATTATTATTATTATTATTATTATTATTATTATTATTATTATTATTATTATCATCATCATCATCATCATTATTATTATTATTATTATTATTATTATTATTATTATTATTATTATTATTATTATTATTATTATTATTATTATTTTCAGTTAATTGTTTGGACCGACATGCCAGAGATAATCCAGATAGGGTTGCTGTACTTTGGGAAAAAGATGAACCAAAACAACACGAGCCTGTCACTTACAAGTAACAAAAACAATTCCTATCATATCTATTAATGTCCTTTCTCTCTCTCCCTCTCTCCCTCTTCAGACAATTGCTAGACATGACGTGTCAGGTTGCTAATGTTTTAAAGTCCCAGGGTATCAGGAAAGGAGATCGTGTGGTCCTATACCTCCCAATGATTCCTCTAGCTATCGCTATCATATTAGCCTGTGCTAGGATAGGAGCCATTCACAGGTAAATGTAATGTACCAAGGTATAGTGGTATAATGGTATAATGGTACAATGGTACAATGGTACAATGGTACAATGGTATAATGGTACAATGGTACAATGGTGTAGTGGTAGTAGTACTAATTGGTATAATGGTAGTATTTAATTGGTGTATACAGCTGGTGTGTGTTTCATTACATGATACTTTGTGTTATTGTGTTTGTGGTCATGTCTTGTGTGTGTCCTGATTATTATCTAATAATGTATCATAATTATTATTTAATTATTATTTAATTATTATTAATTACATGTAATTATTATTTATTTATTTTCTAGTATTGTTTTTGCTGGTTTTAGTGCTGAGGCTTTAAGCAGTCGGATTAACGATGGTAAGTTTAAGCCACACCCTCTCTCACTCTACCCCTCTCCCTTTTGTTTCCATAGCAACAGCGGAGACAGTGATAACAGCTGATGAAGGAGTAAGAGGAGGTAAGACCATACCACTCAAAGAGACAGTGGATACTGCCCTGAAGGAGAGTCCTTGCGTGAAGAGGGTACTAGTGGCCACTCGTACTGGAGCAGCTGTGCCAATGGCAGCTGGTAGGGACCATAAACTGGAGGAGCTTATGAAAGAGGAGTCTACAGAGTGTCCTCCTGAACCAATGGACAGTGAGGATCCATTGTTCATGCTATATACCTCAGGGAGTACTGGGAAACCTAAGGGGATCCTTCACACTCAAGCTGGATATATACTCTATACTGGACTAACACAACAAGTATGGAGGAGGGAGGGAAGGAGGGAGGGAGGGAGGGAGAGGGAGGGAGGATAGATTCCTAAATTAGGGTAAGTCACTGTACTACAGTACTGGGACTTTGGGCCGATTTTTGTGGAGCTTTAAAAATTCATAAAAAATCTAATTTTGATCGGAATCAGCTCAAACTTTCTACACAGCATAAAAACATGTATATGTATCAGAAAATAATATAAAAATGGAGAATTCTCAAAATTTCATTTTTGGCGAAATTTAGCCAAAGTCACTGTACTATATATAGTACAGGGACTTTGGGCCGATTTTTGAGCAAATTTAAAAATTCATTAAAAAATCTAATCTTGATCAGAATCAGCTGAAACTTGCTACACAACATAAGAACATGTATATGTATCAGAAAAAATATAAAAATGGAGAATTCTCAAAAAATTTCACATTTTTGGTGAAATTTGGCTGAAAATAACTAGGAGAGCATTCTCCATTTTAATCACATTTCCAATACGTATGTATGCATGAGGAGAAAGAGGGAAGAGAGAGAGAGGGTTAGAAAGGTTTATTACCTAATTATCATCGATCTTTCTCTTATTCCTCCTATCCCCAGTATGTGTTTGATTGTAGACCAGGAGATGTGTTTGCCTGTGTCGCTGACATTGGTTGGATCACCGGCCACTCGTACGTCATATACGGACCATTGTCCAACGGAGTAACCACCGTACTGTTTGAAAGTACACCTGTCTATCCTGATCCAGGTAATTGAGTGGGTGGGGCTTGGGATTAATTAACTGGGTGTGGTTTACAGGTCGTTATTGGGAGATGACGGAGAGGTTAAAGGTGACACAGATATACACCTCACCCACTGCACTGAGGATGCTACTGAAATCAACCAATGAATATGTAACTAAATATGACAGGTCCTCGTTAAGAATACTGGGCTGTGGTAAGGACTGTTGTTGTTTATTGTTGTTTGTTGTTTTATTAAAATAATAATTATTTATTATTTATTTATTTTTTGTTCCACCAGTTGGTGAGCCATTAAATGACAAAGCATGGCAGTGGTACTACACTGTGGTAGGAGAGGGGAGGTGTACTGTAGTGGATACCTGGTGGCAGACAGGTTAGGAGAGAGGGAGGGAGGGGGAGGGAAAGAGGGAGGGAGGCCAGGTGTACTGTAGTGGATACATGGTGGCAGACAGGTTAGGGGAAAAGAGGGAGAGGGAGGGAGGTTAGGAGGGAGGGAGGGGAGGGAGAGGTATAACAATTATGAGAATTATCTTATAGTTTGTTTTTTCTACTTTACACAGAGACTGGTGGTATAATGATAACGCCACGCCCATCAGCCAATGACTCCACTCCTAAACCAGGATACCCCATGAACCCGTTCTTTGGGATTGAACCAGTTCTAGTTGATGATAAAGTAACTTGTTTAGTAACTATTAATAATAATTGTTTTAATTACTAATCATTAGGGGGAGGTGATTACAGGTAATGATGTCACTGGTAACCTGTGTATCAGGAAACCCTGGCCCTCTATGGCAAGAACCATCTACGGGAACCATGAAAAGTTTTTAGAAACCTATTACCGCCCATACCCTGGTAATTTTGATAATAAATAGTTATTAAATACTAGTTATTAAGTACTGGTTATTAATTACTGTTTAATTAACTAGGTTATTATTTCACTGGTGATGGAGCCTACAGAGATAAAGATGGCCACTATAAGATAACTGGTAGGGTTGATGATGTCATTAATGTTAAAGGACACAGACTGGGAACTGCTGAGCTGGAGAGTGCTATGGTAAGCATAAGGACATAAGTACATGTATGTATTAGGAAACTGTAATTAAAATGGAGAATTCTCTACTAGCAATTTTTGATGAAAAGTCCCTGTACTATAGTGCAGAGACTTTGGCTCAATTTTGGAGCAAATTTTAAAAATTTGTAAAAGATTCAATTTTGATTGGAAACTTTCTACACAACATAAGAGCATGTATATGTATCAGAAAATGTAATACCAACTACTTTTTTATTATTTTTTTAATTAGAATAGAGATGGTCGTGTAGCCGAGACTGCTGTCATTGGTTGTCCTCATGATGTATACGGACAAGGTAAAGTTAGAAAATGATCTCTCTCTCTTTTACTTTCTTATTCTTTCTCTCTCTTCCCCTCTCTCTCTCTCCAGCCATATTAGCATTTGTGATACTTAAAGATGGAGTCACTGATGATGAGGACTCCATCATTACTGGTCTCAAGGCAATGGTGAAGACTGGGGTTGGGAGCTTTGCTGTACCTCACAAATTCCTGGTAATAATAAATAAATAAATAAACAATATACATGTACATATTCATATTCACACGCTACTGTATTTCTCTATAAATTGGGTACTATAGTTTAGTATCATTAGTAATTATTAATATTTGTTATTCCAGTTTGTATTCATAATGGTATTCAGTAACAACAATAATTCACTTATCTCTACCTTTGGAGAAACACAGGATCCTGTTATTGCATTGGATATACTTTCAGTTTCAATTTGCTGGTTCATTATTTGTGACTCACTGGTTTTCATTCTTTCAATTGTGTTGAGTGTTTCTTTGTTCTTATTTTTGTTTTTTATTTCTTGTTATTCATAATCTTGCAAGTTATTGTTGCAAACAGATCATAGAAAGCAATATGCAATGCAATACAATCCTTGTACTCTTCAAGTGATATAACAAGTTTATAGCTTCCTTATTCCCCATCCAATTTGCTGCAAATTTTGTGCTGACACTCTTCAATCATATGTACATGTATACATATATAATAGCTTAATTGACAGTATTACTTCAATTATTGTAGTGTTAGGGTTGCACTTTGTTCTTGTTTCACTCTTCATTAGACCATTAATTGTTTCTATTTAAGTTTTTGCTTTCAATAAACAGTTTCTGTTTATTGTAAATATACTATTCACAACATAATGCTTTACTCTACGTAGTGACCAGTGTGTGTGTATATAAATAATGTAATACCTGAGGACTGAGATATCTGCTTGAGGTGAAGCTGAGGGCAGATATCAAGGGACTCAGGTATTACATTACTGATACTCACCTCCAGACACACACACTAGTCACTGTACATATCATGCATATACATGTAGATAGATGCATGTACTAGTACATGTCTGTGCATGTTAAAAGTCAGTTTTTATTTATTGTTTCTCAATAGATAGTTCCTGGTTTACCTAAGACCAGATCAGGAAAGATAATGAGACGTATTTTAAGAAAAATTGCAAATAATTTATATGAGGAGTTAGGAGATGTATCCACACTAGCCAATCCACCAGTAGTTAATGATATTATGCAGAAATGGTTGAAGGAAGCAGCAGCCACACAATCAGAACAAACTGAACAATAACCTACAGATATACTGCTGTATACACTGATCTACTGACTGGCTCTCTCTCTCTCTTTAGCTGTTAGCTATTCTTTATTATTATTTTTGAATTCATAATTTATGCTGACTATTATTATTATCACTGCTATAGGTTTGGTTATAATTAAATTATTATTATTATTATTTTTATAAGACATTCGCTAAATGTTTTGTCTTGAAAGCAGTCCGCCCACTTACTATAATGCTGTTAATTATATTTATTGTTTTTAAAGTCTCCAGTTAAAGTAGGAAATGCATTATTATCAGACAATGGATAGATTACTGGTATCAAGACTTATGCTGTTAATGTTGGTTGGTCTATTAGTTCTTATTGATGATGGATTGTGTGAATGTCCTCCTAGTAGTGGTATGTTAATGTGTCTTGTGTTATATGCCATTTAATACTTTACCAGGTATATATCTGATGCATGATGGAAAGTGTTATTACAATGGATCATATTTTTGGGATGGTACTGTCAATGCAGCTAATGAAGTTATATCATGTGTGTTACCTGGTACTAATCTAACTACTGGTCAGTGGGTTAGAGTTGCTGATCCTGATGATCCTGTTGACTGTGACAATAATAGTGACAGTGATCCTTTTCATTGTACTTCTGTCACTTCACCTGCTGCTATCAATCTTTATCTTGCTCAGGGACTACCAGCAGCTCAAGAAGGCTGGTACAAGTGTTGTCTACCCACTGATTGTTCAGATCCTAACACTAACATCATCTTTGCTAATATATTCAGTAAGAGGAGACTATAATCACTTATTGGTGTAATAATTATAATTTGCAGATTATGCACAGATAGAATCATTTACTGTTGCTGATCTTCCTTCTAATATGACAGTATATCCTCAGGAATACAAACTGAATTGTACTAAAATTGGACACCATTCTTATGACATTAGTATGAGCATTGGTAGTATTGCATTGTATAGTCGCACTGGATGTTATGATCTTAATAGTGCTCATTGTCGTGGTACTGTTTTAGATAATATTGTCTACATAGTAAGTTATACTGTTGATATCACATGGGATGGAATGACTTTCAGTAAAGGATCAATCAGTCAATCAACTAATGGAGATCAAATGTATCAGTGTGTACTGAATAATCAAGGTGGTGCTGATAGAACACGTACTTTAACAATAAATGGTAATGTTATTCATTTACATATATTTAATAGTATTAATCTAATAGTCCCATCAACTGCTCCCTCTTCTCTTACTGAGGTCAGCAAGACAGCTACCACTATCACTGTCAGTTGGACTGCACTTGATTCATCTGATGCTGATGGATATGTAATCAATGTCACTAGTGACACAGACACTGTGCAGACAGTACAGGTGGAGGGAAGTAGCAATAATACATTAACAATAGAGGAGTTGGAAGTGAAAACAACTTATAACATCAAAGTCAGAGCCTATCAACAATTACTGGGACCTGCTAGTAGTGCAATCAGTGTCTTCACTCATTGTTCTGGTATTTCATTAGTGAATTGCAAGATTAATTTTATTTTATCATAATAGATATTTACCTACTTCACAATGGACAGTGTTATTCTAATGGTTCTTATTTCTGGAATACAACCACAACTATTGATTCTAAACTGAAGTGTATACTTCCTAACACTAACCTCACTAGTGGTGAATGGGTTCAAGTAAAAGGAAATACTTCCATTAATTGTAACACCAGTAGTGAGACTGATCCATTCCTCTGTACTACTGTCACTTCACCTGATGCTACTCTCAGTCTATACTTACCTGATGATAGTAATTTCTCAACGAACAATGAAGGACTTTACAAGTGTTGTCTACCCACTAACTGCTCAGATACTAACAGTAAAGTCATTTTTGCTAATGTATTCAGTAAGTATAATTATTTAATACTATATGATCATTATTATATGTGTGTATAGGGTCCATTGAGATATCATCATTCATATTTAAGCTAGTTACTGATATGACTGTATTTCCTCAGCAGTTTACATTGAACTGTGTTAAAATTGGAACTGAACACTTCAACTATAGCTTATATTTTAAACATGGAACTACAGTAATAGCTAATGCTATTGACTGCTATGGGAGGACAAATTGTACTATAGGAAATAGAACAATAGAGGACATGAACAGTAATGCATATCTTCATTCTGTTAGCCTCATTTGGGATACTGTTGCAGTTAGTTCATTTGACAAATCATTTAATAGTATTCATGAGTATCAATGTGAAATTAATTTTGGAGTAAATTCAAGTCTTCAAACTGTAAAAGTAAAAGGTAATCATTATTCAGAAACTTGTATTAGTTCATTTTATCTCATTTTATTAGTACCAACAACTGCTCCCTCTTCTCTTACTGAGGTCAGCAAGACAGCTACCACTATCACTGTCAGTTGGAATTCATCTGATGCTGATGGATATGTAGTTAATGTCACTAGTGACACAGACACTGTGCAGACAGTACAGGTGGAGGGAAGTAGTAATAATACAATCACACTGAATGGACTGAGAGGAGGAACAACTTATAGCATCACAGTCAGAGCATATCAACAATTACTGGGACCTGCTAGTACAATCAGTGTACAGACCTTACCAGGTATTGCTACTGCACCTTTTAATGTACTATTAACATTGTTGATGTATTTCTAGTTATTAATTCAATCAATTGGACACTAGTCTCATCCATTACACAACTCAATAACACTCAATATCGTATTGATTGTCTCACAACTACTGATATAAATCCTTCAAATGATGTTTACTGGTTAGTGAATGGAGTGATGAAGAATAACTCAAACTATTCATCAATTGATGTCCTGACATACAACAACACACTACTGGTATATCCTGATCCACTGGGAGTGTCAGTTAATGTTACCTGTATAGCAATGATTGGAGGAGTCAGCTACAGTCAATCTGTGATATTACATGGTATGATTATACTTTAATCAATAGTAGATACCTTTGTCTCTTCTCTAGCTCCTAGTGGTCCTCCAGATGATGTGAGAGGGTTTATATTGAATGCTACTAGTATCAAAGTGAACTGGACCAATTCATCAGAGACTAATGGATATGTGATTGAGTATACTACTGGAGGTGTAACCAGGAATGTAGTATCTACCAGTGAAGACGAAACTGTACTAACAGATCCCTCACCAATGAGTACCTATACCATCAGTGTGTACTCATATATAGATCTTCCTTCAGTTAATAGTACTGTAACAGTGTTAAGATTTGATGGTGAGTTATTATCATTGAGAGAGTGTAATTGATATCTGTTGTAGTTCCTAGTCCAGTAACTAGTCTCTCAGTATCTAATGTCTCAACCACTGGTATTACAGTGAGCTGGACTATTCCCAGTAGTGACAACTATGTAACATACTACACCATCTCCTATACTCCATCTTGTCCCCAGTTATCATCAGTGAATGAGACAGTCTCTGTTGCTCCTCATCAGTCCACTACAACATACAGTTATACATTAATAGGTCTGTACAGTGGTATGAACTATACCATCACAGTGAGAGCTGGTAATGTACTAGGAGGATCTGATCCTAGTTCAATTGATGAAGATACAATATCATCAAATGGTATATCACTTTTCATTAAACCTGTTGTTTAATATTATTTTACAGCTCCTCCTGGTGCCCCTCAAGGTTTAATGCTGTTACAACCAATTAATAATCTCACTTGGAATGAGGTTAATTGTTCTGAGCATAATGGTCTAATCACAGGTTATACAGTGATTATCAGTAACAGTAGTATCACATACAACCTCACCAGTACTGAGAGATATATCATATTGAATGATCTAGTATTTGGTAGTGAGTATAACATCAGTGTAGCTGCTGTCAATTCTGTTGGAAGAGGTCCCTTCAGTGATCCTATTGAAATAGAGATTAGAAAAGGTACTGTATATTGATATAAAATACATATAATTGTGTAAATTTATTAGTATCACCTTCATTAATATCATCATTAATGACATCAGCATCTGCAAGTACAGCAATATCAGTCTCACCATCTTCAACAGCAATAACATCAGCATCAGAGTCAGCATCAAAATCAGAATCAGTATCAGCAACAACATCAGTATTAGTAGCAACATCAGTAACAGCATCAGAATCAGTATCATCAGGATCAGTATCAGCATCAAAATTAGTATCAGTATTAGCATCAGAATTAACATCAGTATCAGAATCAGCATTAGAATCAGAATCAGCATCAAAATCAGTATTAGAATCAGCATTAGCAACAGTATTAGAATCAACATCAAAATTAGTATCAGGATCAGCATCAGCAACAGTATCAATGTCATCATCAGGTATATATTGTATAATTAAAATTGTATTGACTTCATTTATCTCAATTTAGTGTCATTAGAATCAGCATCTAATCAAAGTAAGATTTAATATACTAAGTAATTATTAATTTATTTGACTTATAGTACCTGTCATTGGAGGAGTAATAGGAGTAGTACTTATTATAATAATAATAGTAATAATAACACTTTTAATAGTTACTGTTATAATACAAAGAAAGAAAAGGTTTGTTTACAGTTGTTGCTACATTGTCATCATTTATTATTATTTATAGATACAGTAAATCTGATAAACAACCATTGGAACTTCCACTAACAGCACAAACAAATAATATTATAAAAGAAGGTAACTGATGTTAAAAATGATAATAATAGTGTATACAACTTCATAGACAATAAGTATGCTGATTCATTTCTTATGAATGATAACAGTATCACAGATAAAGATACTTCAGTAAGAGTTGAACCAGGTAATACTAGACAATGTACATATGATCAACTAATAACCACCATTTAACAGAATATGCTGTTGTCAATAAGAAAGAAAAGTATAAGAAGGAGAAAGAGACAGAAGAGGTTCCAATACAGCAGCAGCAGTTGCCATTATATGAACCAACCTACACTGATATTGAAGCACTCAAACTCTCACCACATCACATTTATAATGAACCATCCTTTGATCCATTAATACCAGCCACTCTACCAGTATCAATGGAAGAACTGGGCAATCATGTAGCTACTTGTCACAGTAATGGATTTGAAGAGCAATATAAAGTATTGTTAGTATAAAATGAATAATTGTTATCATTGGAACACAGAGTTTGTATACTGGAGAGGATAAGTCATGCTCCATTGGATACAGTGAAGATAACAAAGCATTCAATCGTTTTAAAAACATTACAGTTTGTATGTTCCTAATATTAAACAAATAACACACTTATATTGTCTCCTTGTAGATGATGATAACAGGATAACATTGATCACTAATCCTAACTTGGATATGTGTCAAAGAGAATACATCAATGCTAACTATGTTCATGTAAGCATATCATGAATATACTGCAGGTATAATCCTCTAACCATTGTTTGTATA